AAAGCCTTGGCTGCACCAAGCCCTTTCCGGCCCCTGTGGCCCCCATCCTGGCTCCTTGGGTGACAGAGCTGCAGCAGGGTGACACCCCATCTAGGGGGGCCAGCATCAGCTCTTATTACTAATACTCATAATATTATTATTATTATGCTGCCACTACCCAGCATGGTGGGATGGGCTCACTCCATAAAAGCAAATGGAAATATCCTCTAACATTACAACCCCGAGGAAGAGTCCAGCCCGGAAACCCAGCCCTCCTGCCCCGCCGGCGGGGACTTTATATAGCGAGGATAATGAGAGCGCGAGGCCGGCCGGAAAACAACGCCCTGCGGTCCGGGCCTTCGAAATTGCCACCTTTGGGCAGATGTCTTCAATTAGATGATGAGCTCAGACCACTCTGGAGCAGAGGAAGCCAGTGAGAGCACCCGGAGGAGGGACAGAACAGAGCTCGGATGGAGCGTGTGGAGCAGCACCCGCCCCTCCGGCGTGTGGCATGGCCACCTGTGCGTGGGGACACTCTGCTGCAGGATCGCCTTGGGGACAGGGTGTCCTGGAGGACACATGGCACCCATAGTGCCTTTGTGCATCCATGGGCAGTGGGGGTGTCCTGTCCTGGGGACATGGTTCCCAAGAGGACACGTGGCATCCATGGGCAGTGCCAAGGGGTTATCCTGTCTTGGCTTCCCAGAGAACACATGGTGCCTATGTGCATCCATGAGCAGGGATGTGGGGCTGTCCTTTCTTGGGGACATGGATCCTCCAAGGACCCATGGCACCCATGGGGTCATCATGCACCCATCTTTCCCATCTTCCTTCCCTTCCATCCTTCTCCCATCCATTCTTTTTATCTCTCCTTCCTCTTCCTCTTCCTTTTCTTTCTCCTTCTCCTCTTCCATCTCCTTCTCTCTCTCCTCCCTTCCTTTCTCTTCCCTTTCTCCTTGGACCCAGGGCAGATGCCCTGGCTCTGGCCCTGCACGTTGCTCCAGGCACCTTTTCCCCAAACGCCACTCCATCTGCACTCCGCTGTTTCCTGTCCCAAATGCTGATGCCAGCAGCACCACGAAGGATGCCAAGATCCTGCCCTGTGGGCACCATCCCATCTCATCACATGGCTTCTGCACCCCACTGATGTTCTGCTCTGGCCTGCATGCCGGCCTCTCATTACTATCACCTGGGTGGCAGGGCTGAAGGTGACGGTCCTGTGTCCTTCTCTCCCTGCAGTCGACATTCGGGAGATAAAGGAGATCCGCTTGGGGAAGAACTCGCGGGACTTCGAACGCTACCCGGAGGATGCTCGCAAGCTCGACTTCAGCATGTGCTTCATCATCCTCTACGGGATGGACTTCAGGCTGCGCACGCTCAGTGTGGCCGGTTCGTGGCTTCTTTCCTAAGGACCTAGGGTTTTCTTATCCATCTCCAGTCCCTTAATTGGGACATAGCAATGGGATGAGGCCAGGAGAAGTCCCTATTTTGAAGGCATCTGCCTAGGGATCATCCCTGCCTCCTTCCACCTGGAATTGGTCCTCTCATTCTTGCTCAGCTGCAGCATAGCCCTATATCCGTTCTTCTCTCCCCGTCCCAACCTCACTGTCCTCGTCTTCCTCCTCCAGCTTTTTGTGAGGAAGACATCAACCTATGGATAACGGGCCTTAACTGGCTGGTGGCAGACACTCAGAAAGCCCAGACCCCGCTGCAGATCGAGAGGTGAGGAGGGCCCTGTGATCCCAGTGCTGCTGCTCCCTGATGTCCTGTATGGTTGGGAAGTCAAGGAGGATGAGCACACATAGGGGACCAACCCGTGCTGAGCCCCAACTCTTCCTTCTTTCCCCAGGTGGCTGCGGAAACAATTTGATGCCATGGACAGGTCACGGGAAGGCAGGTGAGTGGCCACCTCAGATGGGCTGACACTGCTTCCAGGTGGGACAGCTGGATGCACATCCTCTCCCCAGTCCTCCACTCGAGGCTGTCATGGTTTCACCAGTCCCATGTTAAATAAATTGAAAAAAAAAATGCTTCTGGAGCAAATCCAAGAGTGCCATTCATTTCAAAGGGGAGATTAGGGGAATGGCTGATCCCCCTTCCTGAAGCTGTTTTTCTTCTCCCTCAAAAAATTTGGGAATAGTTGCTGGTATTTTGGAGCTGCTTTGGGGCTGTTTGGCTGAAGGTCCTGAGTCCATTATCCAAAGCCTGGTTGGGGTCAGGGCCCCAAGCCAGCAACCAAGTGGTCTTGGCTGGCCTTTGGCCTCACCAGCATTCTTATCACATGGAGGGGATCAAGGGTCAGAGGAAATCGGGGTAGTTTGTGGGAGTCAAGAAAAATTG